GGGATTATTATTGCTCAGTACACTGCAAGTTTCGTTTTTTTGCTCAAGTCATGATTGTAGAAAACTCTGTCTTTTAATATCCAGAATGCTCTTGAGGTGTTACTAATTCTGTGCTGAATTTCAGAGTCGTTATTTGCCTTTTCCGAAATCAAAGCAGAGGTAATTGTTTAGTGCTTTCATATTGGGGTTGTATTCTTGGTTAAGTATATGGCTGTAATGCTCTTTCCAGCGGTTTCTAATTTGTTCTTCCTCTTTTAGAAGTTCACCATTTTGTGCCTTGATTGTGCAGCTTACCTCCTTGGTTGTGCCGTATACTTCTTTCACAGCCTCAAAGAATTTACGATAGTCGTGATCTGCGGCGTACTCTTGAATCTGATTAGTTGGTTGTGACCACGAGTTATCCTTTAGTGGGCGCAGGTTTCTTCGAAGTGTGTTGTTGGATTTAAAGTTGTCCACCAGCGTTAGATTGCGTGGGTTTGCAGTGACTGCTTGCTTGATGTACTCTATGCTTTTGTCCCGACAAAGCCTGTATATGCGGTTGATTTTCATTAAACCAGTCTGGTTGTATCTTTTTCTTGGATTTTCCCCGCACTGCTTTGCTGGTATTATAAATCGCATCCCTCAATTAATTGTGTTCAACCTTGTTCAGCTTCCGAGTTTGAGGTTATCGGTGGAAGTGCTTTTTTGATGCCTTCCCGGAGGGCTTTGGCGGTATTGTTGTTCGTTATACTCCGTATGTTCAATCTGGCCATGTTGTTTTGCTTCTTATAATGTGGATGTTTGGGTTTTGAATTTTTATTTTTGAACATACTCTTCGCACACACGAAAAAATGTGTTTCGAAAAAATCTTCTAAAAAATTCTATACCATCACTGTTAATAATCCTTTTTTTGTACAAGTAGTATTTGTCCTGCCATTTTTATAGTAAGGTTTGTTTATTTATAATATTTGTAGGTTAATAAGATGACATACCGTTCGACCGAAAAAAAGCGCTGGGGAATGACAATCGATAATATATCCAATTTTGACTAGGTACGGAATTGGTACGGACCAAGTAATGACCATAGACGTCATTACTAAATCCTGCTTAAGATGGGCTGGGCACGCATGCAGGATGCAAGAAAACCGCCCACCGAAATCTCTTTACGGTGATCTTGTAGACGGTAAGGGGAAACCGGGTGGAAGTCAAAAGGTACAAGGGTATTTTCCATGAAAACTTTCACCATGAAAGCGGCGCGAAATAGAAAGCAATGGAGAAGAATTATAAGCTCACTTAACAACGACAATCAAAAACGCCCTTACTGTGAGTTGGCTTTAAGAGGGTTGTAATTTATTTTTATATCGAGTAAAAATTATTTTTAATAGTATAGTTTAAAATACGAGAAAAAATATTTTGAAGATAGATATGTGTCTCTGGAAACGCTCTATTCTTTTTTAATCTACCTATAATTGGTGTTAATTTCTGACAAGTTTTATGTTAGAGTTTTTAGTAAATGACGTCTAGAGATTGACCTCTACAACATTATCATTGATTGTCATTTCTCAGCCGTCTTTGATGTCGTTTTTTTTTCGATCATACAGTAGTATAGATACTCTCAATTTCTTAAAATGTAGAATAGTTAGGTGTGATAATTTTCAACTTTTTTTTCACAATTACGTAAAGTACGATGACCACTTTATAGTTAAACTAAGGATGTCTTAGACAACTGTTAAGAATCAAATGGTCCACCATGTCTCAAACGTATGGGTCTTTGAAAAGCGTAGCTGCGAGAGCGCTGAAGTCATGATTACTAAATCCCGCTTAAGATGGACTGGTTACGTATGCAAGATGCAAGAAAACCGCCTACCGAAATCTTTCCTTTACGGAGAGCCTGTAGACGGTAAATATATTTCCATAAAAACTTAAAGGGGAGAAGCAGCGCACAATAGTAAGCAATGGAGAAGGATTTTAAACGCAGTTAACAACGACAACCAAAATGTAAAGAGGCAATAAAGCAATGACATTTTTGAATGTCCCAAGTGCGGAAGAGTTTTACATAACATCGCGTATCGGGCTTTTCACTCACAGAAATACTCAAAAAAGGAAACGCCATGCGTAACTGTCTTCTGATGCGTGTCAAATACTCGTCAGCCAGTAATGGCAGTAAGTAAGTAAGTAAGTTAAACTAAAATATACATATATTTCTAAAGACAATATACATCCTTAATCAGTTATAATACTGTGAGAATATCTTTTGATATTTGTTTATAAAATGTTAAATTTTACATAGCTGTCTGGAATTACTCTAAAATACAAGACAGTTTGATTGTAACTGTTAAAACGTAGTACGTTTGATTGTAACTACGGAAATTACTACAGATAACTATAGAGAAGCCTTGATAGATGGAATATATTAGCTGGACTGAGTGCAAATCTACCCTCTCATTGTATTTTAGACTATTTCAGATTATTCGCATTGCATTAATCCAGATCAAATATAAAGTAGCATTAATTAAATTTGCATATGAAAGACCAGTGACGATAACCACGGGAAATTATTAAAATTGTAGAAATATAAATATAATTTTTATGTACAGGATGTTTCAATTTGGTAAACGGATGTTATTGATATTAACATTTTACTGTCTGAAACTAAATAAATTTATTAAAAAATATATATTTTTTTTAATAATAACTTTTGACTACTATTTTTTATTTATTCCATTCCAAACGAAGTTCCACCAAAATAGCATTAAATATTAATAGAAACCAAAGACCCTTTCTGTGACGTAGTTTTCGAAGATATCGACAAAAACTTTATCAATCGGCCTACGCTGTTAATTTAAAGTTAGGAGTTAATTAAATATTAGATTTCAGTGACGTCAACATTGGCTGAAATTCCGGAAATCTTGTTCTAAAGACAATTAATTATGCGTCATAGCTTAAGTGATAAAGTCTGAACTATACTTATACGAGGCGGCTCTAAGTTCTTACTTTACTCAGTAGCTATAATATATAAAAGGTGATTACGATTAAAAGCTTGCGCACGGTACTTTTTGTGAGTAATTTCTGTCCAATTAGTAAAAGAAGATTTCGACAGACGTCATCCAAATATAACATATAACTGTCATTGTCACTTATCCTCTCCTTGAATAAACTTTAGTTGGTATCTATTGTAGATTGTATAATGTATGGGGGGGGGGGAAGTTCATCACCGCAACCATAGAGATCTATTATCTCCCCCTTTCTTATCAGTTTCAGGGCATTGACAAAAAACAGTATCTGAGATGGTTTTAAATTCGTTAGTTCTCGGAGCACTCAGTGATAAAGTGTTCTGGTGTTTACCCATTTTCCCAACATAACCTGCATTCGCCGTTGTTTCTTATCTTCATTCTATTGAAGGCATTTAGGAGATAATGTCCTGTTAAAAACCCCATGACAATCATAAGAATGTTCTTACTTCAAGGAAACTCTTGTTTTTTTCGGTAGTAAGTTTTGGTAAATTTTTTCGAGTGTCGTAGACTGTTGAAGGATTTCCATTTCAGGTTAATCTATTCTATTTCATTGCCTTAGTCTCGGTCAATGATTATTATTTATTATGCTTGATTAGTTTTATTAAGCTTGTTAGAATTTATCGCGCTTGCTCAATACCATCCGAGCGTCTACATAAACGATCAAGTGTTAAAACTAAAGCGTTTTGGTGTATTGTGGTGAATTGGTATTTTATTTTGCTTCTTCCAGAGTTCTGGAGAGAGGAGGACTATAGACCGTTCCCGATTCAATATAATAAACCGATATTTTGCCTCCAAAAAACGGATTTGTATATTACTCGGACAAAACCTCCAGTGCTATTATGGTGTCATGTTGTATCTGTTAGTGTATTTATATGGATATAGAATGTTTAGGAGGGGAGTTAATCACTGCGACCTTACAGATCTATTGTGTGTTCCCCTTTCTTGAGTTATAACTCATCATACAGTCTCAGGGTTTTAAAAAGGGCCAGTATCTGAGACAGGCCAGCTCTCCATCCTCGACATCATCCGTACCAAAGTTCATGGCACGAATGGTCGTCGTCTTGGCGCACTCAGTGATAAGGTGTTTTGGTGTTTCCCCGTTTTTCTTTTTTTGACGTATTTTTTTTGCCGTGTTCGTTGAGAAGATAGTGTCCTGTTAGAAACCCCGTGACAATTCGAAGATGGTTTTTACTTAAATTAATTTTTTGATTTTTCTCGGTCGAAAGTCCTGAGGAAGTTTTTCGAGTGTCTTAGACCGGTTGGAGGACACCCATTCCAAGTTACGGATGGAGTCTTCCAGATTCTTCAGTTTTGCTTTCAGTTTGTTCCCGTTCGGAAAACAGAACGGTTTTGGTCCAATTGGTGGAGTGTTCGCTTCTTTCCTAGTTAGATCATTTGCTTTTTCATTGCCTTCTATCCCTTGGTGAGCAAGCACCCAAAGTAGGAGGACTTTATTTTATTTGCCTAATTCGTTGAGCTTCTCTGGGCATTCTTTGACCAACTTCGAATTGATGGTTACTGAGTTGATCGTGTTTAGTGCTACTTGACTATCGGATAGGATGGTAATTTCCTGTTTTCGATAGTTCCTATCTAAGATAAATTGTACGCATCTTTCGATAGCCTAAATTTAAAACTATCGGAAACAGGAAATTGCCATCCTATCCGATAGTATTATAATAAATATTATAAATAAAAGAAAAATAAAAATTATAAAATAAATCTATAATTTTATCGCGCTTGCTCAATACCACCCGAGTGCCTACATAAACGCTGAAGTCTCAAAAGTAAAGCATTTTGGTGTATTGTGGGAACTGGTGTTTTATTTTGCTTCTTCTAGAGTTCTGGAGAGAGGAGGACTATAGACCGTTCCCGATTCAATGCAATAAACCGAGATTTTGCCTCCTAAAAATGGATTTGTATATTACGCGGACAAAACCTCCAGTGCTATTGTGGTGTCATGTTGTATCTGTTAGTATATTTAATCTATGGATACGAAAACTACTTTACCTATAATATGTTTTTTGTCGAGTCGCATTTGCTGCCAGGGTCGGTGGTTGTAAACGGTTTGCCATGGTCGGTAGGGGTCACATGCTGCCTCTCCCGTTTCTCTCCATCTACCGAAACCGCAGTCCAAATACCAAGCGTCCACGTGCGAGATCAAAATCTTGTAGTCATCGGCTAAGAGATCGGGAGTGTCCGGCCATTGACTTGAGCCCCAACTTTGTACTATTGTCGTGTTCTGCAATTTAAATAGAAATTATAATAAATAGAAATTATTATAGGGAGCATGAGGCTATAACTAAAAAGACTAGTCTATTAGATTAGTAGGTGAGACATGTATGTCAACTTTTAACATTTTCGCTTAAAACAAAATTGTATTTTAAATTTCAATCCATGAGTGCAACGGATGTGTTAAAAACACTAATTTTTAATTAAGGAGCCTAGGAAAAATAGACTTGATCGTCTAATATTTTTAGTGTTTGTCATATACAAACATACCAAATCTCGATTTTTCATCGGAAAAAATAAAAAAGTTATAGGGGGTAAGCCACTTTTGACACGCACCCGGTATACTTGTGATGTATGTTATCAGTTTTTCACAAGGACACATGCGTACATTTTATACCAGACAATTATATTTAAGAAAATTGCCATTGCCAGTCATGGGGTGGCGTATGGCGGCTCGACAGTGGCTCTATTTAAATAAATAAATTATAATACTTGCTAGTATTGTAGGCTCAGTCAGGTCATCAGTCATCCACGGCCAGCTACTTAGACAATATAGTTTTATTTTAATTCGAATTCACAACTATACAGGGTGAATCTTAATTAAGTGCAAATATTTTTAGAGTGGTATACAGGGTTTCTCACCGTAGCCGTGCGTTAGAAGTTTTTGAGGTTAGGAAAAACTTAGAAGTTTGAAATTTTGAGACTTAGGGTTATTTAACCTTTCCTTTCATTTAAAAATATTTTCAAGGTCACGCCACTTCCGGTTACACCGGAAGTCGCCATTAACTTCTTTATTTTAAATGGAACACCCTGTATATTATTTTATTTTTGGATTTCTAAGAAAATTTTATGATGAGTTTCATTAGGTTTCCCTATACCTATTTTCGACTGTTTATCAGATATCTTGATTTATTTGAAAATGTTTACAGATTTACCCCTATTTTTAACAGTCGGTCTTTTACTCATTTTGAATCGGCGATAAACGCTTCTGCAGTAAACCGAAGCAGAGGGCTAATACTTTCGAAATCCATATTGACAATTAATTTATTGCATACAGGGTGTCCAAAATTTGATAACTGATTAGATTATTTTCAAACTCAAAATAGTTCATTTTTTCAAATGAGGCACTCTGTATATTTTTCGATAGTTGGATGCAGAATTCAATTCTGCATCCATTTGCTATAACTTTCCCTATACCCATTTTCAGCGGTTTTCTTGTTAATCCGTATTTTTTACTTTAATTCAATTTTTGCCAGAATCGACAATATCGTTTGTGTTTTTTAAAAGAAAATAATTATGTTAAAGTAAAGAAATTGTATATAATTAGAACATACGAACAAAACAGGAACAAAACAAAAGTGAAAACGTATAAAATATAACATAACATAACAAAACAAACGTAATTTCAACAGTAACGGTGAGGCATTAATTATTAATACTAGATGTTAGTGTATCCCTACAATAATAAAAAAAAGGTAACTCAATAATTACAAAAATTTTCATTCATAGCGGTCAATTCGAAGAATAATTTTTGTAATTATTGTGTTTACTTTTTTTTATTATGGTAGCGATACACTAACGTCTAGTGTTAATAATTAATGCCTCACCGTTATACGTTTGTTTTGTTATGTTATGTTATATTTTATACGTTTTCACTTTCGTTTCGTTCCTGTTTTGTTCGTATGTTCTAATTACATTCAATTTCATTACTTTAACATTAAATTTAACATTTTTTATTTTAAAAAACACAAACGATATTGTCGATTCTGCCAAAAATTGAATTAAAGTAAAATAGACGGATTAAAAAGAAAACCAATGAAAATGGGTATAGGGAAAGTTATAGCAAATCGATGCAGAATTGAATTCTGCATCCAACTATCGAAAAATATATAGGGTGTCTCATTTTGAAAAAATGGACTTTTTTGAGTTTGAAAATAATCTAATCAGTTATCGAATTTTGGACACCCTGTATGAGATAAATTAGTTGTTAATATGGACTTCGAAAGTATTAGTCCTCTGCTCCCGTTTACCGCAGAAGCGTTTATCACCAATTCAAAATGAGTAAAAGACCCACTGTTAAAAATAGGGGTAAAAATGTAAAAATTTTCAAATAAATCAAGATATCTGAGAAACAGTTGAAAATAGGTATAGAGAAATCTAATGAAACTCATCATAAAATTTTCTGAGAAATCCAAAAATTAAATAATATACAGGGTGTTCTATTTGAAATAAGGAAGTTAATGGCGACTTCCGGTGTAACCGGAAGTGGTATGACCCTGAAAATATTTTTAAATGAAAGGAAATTATAAATAACCCTAAGTCTCAAAATTTCAAACTTCTAAGTTTTTCCTAACCTCAAAAACTTCTAACGAACGGCTACGGTGAGAAATCCTCTATATTTCGACACAAGAAATACGACTACGGCTTTTTTTCGTAAAAAAATGTTAAAAATTTGGTATTTTTGAAAAAAAAATCAATGTTTTTAAATTTTCAGTTAAAAAATATATCTGGATAATATGGCAACACAGGAAGTAGATTAAATTTAAAGGAACAAAAAAGCAGAAAAAATCGAGTGGTTTCTCAAAATTAAAAAAATAAGTAAAGTAATTCGGCTATTTTGGGCCTATGTGAAAAACGGCACATAGAAAATATATTTCTAAAATCGAGATCTTATTTAAGACTCAACTTGTATAATTTCATTTAAAATTTTTTGTCTACCTGGAAGTATTTGAACACAATTGAGAAAAAAACATTTTAATTATTTATCAGTAATGTAAACAGAAATTAAAATATATATCGTGCTATTATTAGTGTCAACGCTTTGCAAATCCCTTTAAGATTTATTATATATACCTATATTAAGAAGCTTGAAAATCGCAAATTTAACTTAGGTCTGAAAATAGGTCTAATTATGGAAAAACAGGGCAATGACGTAATAGGTACGAGCGTCACAGATTAAATGATCGATAAATAGTTTCCCATGATAACTCTGATTTCTAATTTATTTTGCTCTTTCCTACTAACATAATTATCAGTCATTATAATTATTTATAAGATAAATAGAGACTTGTGTCTCATAGAATAACAAATTATGTACCAAAATGTTTTTTTCCAAAAATATCTCAATTTCAACATCATCATCAAATGATATAAATTATCATAAAATTTTTATTAACCGACACAAAAATAGGTTTTTATTTTTTTTAATATTCCTATAATAAACAAACACAATGAGCCAAATTTTGAAAAAAATTATTTGAAAAAGCTTTTTTAGTTTTGCATAAGTAAATTAATTTTTAGCCATCTAGATGAAAAATAAAATTTCTCGTGGTAGAAGCAAAAAAATTATGGTAATCCGTTTGTTTGTTATAGAAATATTTATTTAATAATTATATATTCAGTTAAACTATTTGAATTAATTAATAATTTTTAAAGAGATATATGTAAATGTAATTTCCCCATTTATAGAGATACCAACATGAAATTCATATTTATACATGCTGTGACCTTATCTTCACCATACTAAATGTCAAAATATATTTTACATAGCCTTATAGATTTTATTTGTTTAGACATTGCCCTTATACCGTGCTGGCAACTCTTACTTTTGGGTCGGTATTTACATGTGTGGAAGTAAATCGCATACGGATCTGATTAAGTCGGAGTGAGAGAAATGAGACGGTGTGCTGTTGCGGCGTTGCCACATTTCTCCGGTACGCCTTTCTTTATCAAGTAAAGTAATTTCACGATCGCAAACCGCTCATTTTTAAAAGTCTTTTTTTTCGAAGAGATAACTGAATAAAATTATTAGATATGTTTCTGAGCATCTGAAATGGAATTGTAAGGATAACGTTAGAGTATCCATATTTTTTATATCGAGAAAACGTCAGTAATTGCTATGATTTAAAAACTCACCTTTTTAGATATTGACACTTTTCTATTTTGAAGGTCGGATCTTTTACAAGAAGTTTGAATGAGATAAATTCGATAGGCTTGTTTTTTTTTCATTCAAAAATTAAAAAAAAACCGTCCATTTACTTTTAGTGCGTAGCAATTTTCAGCTATCGTGTATTTTTTTTCTTTGTAAAGATTTATTAACAGTATTATTAACAGTATGTGACTGTCTGCGAAGAAAATATAGCAGAAATATTAAAAAAAATTTTGAAAAAAACTACAATCTGTTATTTCTGATGGATTTCGAGATATCGATTTTTGAATTTCAGAGTTCTAATAGCGCGACCACTGTCGAAGACCAACTCAATTCACTTATTTTTGCAAGTGTCTCTAACTTGCACTTAAAAATTTACTAGCTATAGGGAAAATTTCAATGACTCGTTAATAAATACACAAATAAATTATCACGAGACGTAATTAAATCGTAAAGCTGAACGCATGATCTACGCCCTTCTCTAGAATTTTAAGTACTGATTGGGTCGACCGGTTAACCGCAATGAATCTGCTGTATCCTCTTCCACGTCTTTTAGAAATGTGCACATATTCTCTGTTTATTTCATACGTTTGGCAACGTTTTTAGCGTTCTCTCTTTGTTCAGTACATTATAAACGCTTTGTACTCTTCTTACATACGGAAACTTCTTTGCCACCCTCAGTATAACCTATGATCAAATTAACATAAAATAATTTTATTAAGTTGATCAGATTTTAATTTAGTTGTAGCGAGCCTTATTTTTAAAGAAACTCTAAACTTAGGTTGAGTAATTAGAGAGAATAAATGTATAGGAATGATGTGTCTTAAATATATGAAAGAATTATTCATAGTTTGCATCACGCAAGCCAAATTTTTGTTAAAAATTATTAAATTATTCAAAAGATTTAGTTAAATATATGAGTACTAGATAAATATTTGACCTACAAACGGGTTCCCATTAGTTATTTTTGCTCATATGAGAAGAATTGGCTCCTATTGACTAAAACAACGAAACAATTTCCTTTAACTAGATAGAAACAACCTTTTCAAATAAAGTTTTTCGAAATTCGGTCAGAAAACCCATTTATTACTTTAAATGTCAGACACCCAAGAGCAACATGGTAAATTTTCTAATGCCATTTTTAATCTAAATTAAATCAGCAACTATCGCAGAAGTCAAATTTCACTTAAGCCAATAAATAAAAAAAAGTTCCATCTTTATCTGTGACATTGTGTAAAATATTGTAAAAAACACGTCAGAAAGCCAAGAAGTATTTTTAAATAATCATAAAAAAATGATCGGTTTGTGAACTTACATTTACTCAATAAAGACTTACCTTATTTAATTTCATTAATTTAAATAGTGTTTTTTTCACTTAAAAAATAATAACCAGAGGATAAAAAGATTGTATAAGAAGAAACAACCTCTCCATATCAAAAGTCAACAAGGGAAAAGAAATTGTTCAAAATTATTTCCATATTATATTAATTTTAACGGATCTCTCTTTTCCGCTACATCTTAAAATTTAAGACATTAAATTGTTATTTTTCCAATGGAAAAAACATTTTAAAATTAAATTGTTTAAAATTTTTTTTCAAAATTTCCAAAAAAAAAGTTTTGCTTAAATTTTTTTTCTTGTAAATTTAATCTACTGCCTATGTTGCCATATTATCAAGAAATTATGTTTTTTAACTAAAAAAAAACATTTTTTTTTTAAAATTCGAAATTTTCAAAAAAAAAATTCGCGAATATAAACTCATAATCGTATTTCTGGGGTTAAAATATACTATCACTAAAAATAATTGACTTATTTAAGACTCACACTGTATAATGTAAAATTTCTTACTTAAAAGCTGGAAACTTCTTAAAACTAAATAAAACCAGAAAAAGAACGCCTTAATAAAAAACGAAAGCTATGACAAAATAAAAATAAAACTCTATAAATTTTCAACCACAAAACAAGACAGTTTTTCTTTGTTGACCCGATTATTGTGAACTGCAAGTGGCTAAGAAAAGCAGAGGTCGTATTTTAAAGTAAGGGAACGCCGCATCTTGGACTTTTTCTAATTAAGATCTACCACCTGAGAGAACTAAGCAGGCTTTCATTTCGCAGGCGATATTCCTGTTGCTAAATAAGTTCTTAAAAAGCAGTGAATTATACAAATGTCCCTTCTTAGATTAATCAACATGGCTTTAAATATTTAAGCATTATAGAAGGCAGTAAAAGTAAAATATGTTTTATATGTATAAACTATCAGACATTATTTATTTTTTATCACATAAACAAAAATAATCTCAAAATAAACCTATACCTTTTTCGCATTTATTAAATATTTTAACAATTTGAAATTGTCATTGTAGTTATATCGTGTATCAACTATAAATATATGTGTGTCATATGTGAACAAGTTGTGCCCAAATATGTTTTTAATGTTTGTTAACTTCCAGGAAGATTCAATTGTAATAATTTTCTGCATTTCAAAAAAAATTATGGTTAATATTAAATAAATTTACCCACAGACGTGTACCATATGTTCGAAAAAAAAACGATGTCTAAGACGGTTGAAAAAGGACAATGGATGCTAATTTTGGCGAGGTGAAGATCTAAACGTCATTTACATAGCCCGTACTTGATGTTTCCAAAACCAAACCAAGGGCATGGATAGGAGTATTTGTGCCAAAAACTAAATACTCTGAACCAATGGGCACCTACCCGAGCATCCTTCAGGCAGAAATTTACGCTATCGAAAGATGCGTACAATTTATCTTAGATAGGAACTCTCCTTTGAATAAGGAACTATCGAAAACAGGAAATAGCTATCTTATCTGATAGTCAAGCAGCACTAAACGCAATCAACTCAGTAACCATCAATTCGAAGTTGGTCAAAGAATGCATAGAGAAGCTCAACAAATTAGGCCAAGAAAATAAAGTCCTCCTACTCTGGGTGCCTGCTCACCAAGTGATAAAAGGCATTGAAAAAGCAAAAGATCTAGCTAGAAAAGGACCGAACACTTTACTAACTGGACCAGAACCGTTCTGTTTTCCAAGCGGGAACCAATTGAACATCCGTAACCTGGAATGGGTGTCCTCCAACGGTCTAAGACACTCGAAACAGTTCCTCAGAACTCAGAAAAATCAAAGGTTTTCCTTAATTTAAGTAAAAACAATCTTCGGATTGTCACGGGGTTTCTAACAAGGATCGGAGGTAACAAGGAGGTTTCGAACAGGACAGTGTCTCCTCAACGAACACCTCAGTAGACTGAAGCTGAGAAAAAACGACGAATGCAGATTCTGTGGGGAAAATGAACATGAAATAAAAAACTTATTTCTCCCTTAAAGTTCCCCCATTTGTTATTACATAAGTGTCATAAAAAGTAGCATAGTGATGTGAAAACCATATCTTTGTATCTCCAATGGTGAACGAGAAATTCCAAAAAACATACGAAAATAGGACATCCTGTACATTAAAGAAGGAGTTTCCATATACTTACCCTGTCTAAATACTTCGTAATATACGGTCTTTTACTTAATTTGCTAGACCATACAATCACTTTGGGTATTTTTTCTCCCCCGTTGGCCTGCTGTAATCTCGCAAGAGCTTTTAGGGTGAATTCACCCCAAAGATCGTGCAAGTCAGTGTAGTTGTTGGGGGTGTTGGATTTTTGCATATGCTGAGCCCAGCATTCGAGGTTTACTTCGTCACCACCCAAATGGAAAATTTCGGTTTCTCCAGTCAGTTCCAGCAAATCCCTGGAAGAAAAATACATTTTAAAAGAAATTTTTTTACCGGGTGTTTTTTAAAAGGGACTCGCCTCTATAACTTTTTATTTTTTCAGTTGATTGTTGAATTCAATTATTAATTTCGGTCACTTCTTGACTCAACGGAGATGACTAAAATTTTTGTTTTTTAAACGAGACTACTGTGTTTTTTTTTTAGTTTATTATGTAGATAGAAAATGATATACTGAAATAGAATATGTCAACTTTTAACATTTTCAATTAAAACATTATAGTATTTTAAATTTCAATTTAAAGTGTGTTTATGGTTGTGTTAAAATGACTAATTTTTAATCAAGGCGTGAGCATATTTGGAAAACATCTTTTTTTACGCAAAATTTGGTACGACATGCTTGGTATTCGAGTCAAATTGATTAGATACATTAGATACATGGTACAAAGAATACAAGGTATGATATTGCGCAGGTTGGTTGCTACGTCACAGGTGATAACAGGCGCTATTGGTCAGCACGCCTCGCGCTCCAGTTCAAATCGTCAAGATATTGTTATAAACCTGTTTTTTTGTTTATATACCGTCATTGAATTATCGCTAAGCAAGTTACTGTGGAGCAGTGCATAAGGAGTCGGGCTAGGAAGCGAGAGACCGGAGTTCGAATCTCGGCCGGGAAATAACTTTTTATTTATTTTTTTAAATACTGTTGTATTCTATAGTTTATTTTTGTAGTATAAAAAAAAGAACTATTTATTCTGTGATTTTTTAATCTCCGGTATTAATATAAATTGATTGTTGGTACAATACCTCATTTAATATAAAATAATATTCTACTTTTTGAAATGTATCGGGCCCTAATTGTACCTAAAAGTAAAATATATTTTTACTGATATACCATATTGTAAACTATTTAATATTTCAGTCACTTAAAAAGTTAATTTGCATTGAATAATTGCCTACCATTAAAGTAAATTTGAGCTATATAATCCTTGATGGGCATCTTCCTCTAAATTTTGGGTTTCGTTCAACCGATTTATTCTCAAAACCTGAAACATCTACATATAAAAAGAAGCACAGGTCACTAATTATAATAAACCTCACCCTTGGAATTACTTCCACTAATTATAATAAACTTCACCCTTGGAATTACTTCTATCACAATTACAATACATTCATCTGCATTGGCATTTTCTACTGTTCGATGGGAAACAATAAACTTTCCAACATTTTTTAAATGATGTAACAATTCCTCTTGTGGTTACTTTTCCATAGATATCTTCATCTCTGTCCTCATGTGAATTCAGAGGCAATGAACATGAAAATTATTTACCATAAACATCGCAAACTAAAAATCTAATAAACAATTTTATACCGAATACAGAAATAAATTTAGTATTCTTACCTATTATCGTCCAAATCCATGTTAATAGATAATTATTATTTTTAAATATATTTTTGGAACTGCTGGTTTTAGTAATTATTAAATTAAACGAACTAAAAAGTCTTAAAAATAAACAATTCTTAACCATAACCCCAAAAAATACAGATCTCCTGTCAACTTTCTTTATTTTTTATTTATTCATTGTTTTCCTAGTGACGTCACAGGTGGTATGCGCGAACTGAACGAAATTGGAGCCGCTATCGATCATACCTTGTATTCTTTGTACCATGCATTAGATAGAAATTTAAAATACTATTTTAAAGCAAAAATGTCAAAAGTTGACATATGATATGTCATTCTATTAAGAATGTCATTTTCCAAGTGAACAAATACATATGGTTCATATCAAATAAACTTTTAGTTACGTTATCGAGGGTGCGATTTTTAAATTAAGTGTTGCCAACCATGGACATATTCGGCGCCGTTCTGACTAACTGGAATTTAAATTTTTCGCTGGGGATTTAGTTGGCAGCTTTGCTGTAAAAAATGTCAAGTTGCCGCATTTATTTATTTATTTCCTGACATTGTCATTCGTTTTGACAAATTAGCTTTTTATTTTAAGTTTTTGGTTTAAATAAATAGTGTTGTGATACTTTAAGCTTAAAAATGTTTACTAGCAGACCCTGCAGTCGAACATTGTCCTTTTTAGAACATCTTTTAGTGCGAAGTGTATTAGATATAGCCTTAACTGTACCAAAAATGGCCGCATAAACTTATCACAACTTTATTAGAATGTTTTGAACGGGAAAGCGGCAGTAATGGCCCTTTATGTTCCTTAAGTGCTGTTAAGGAGGTAAGTTTTGTTGATGTAAATAATAACGTAGACAGTGTTTTTATTTTAACTATGAACATAGGCGTTAACCATTGTAATTTGTAAAGCAGTGCCATAACCATGCCATAACCAATCTTTCATCATCGTTTGATTAATTACTGACAGGCAATGCATTTTTCTTCACAAAAAAATAATAGACATGAAGTAAAATTGAAGATATTTTTTTATTCAAAATTTGGATTTTTTGCAATTTTTTAAGCAAGAACTATTTAATAATATAATAAATAAATCATTTTAAAAGAAACAAAATATTTATTAATAATTTTATTTTTTTTGGAACTTTTGTTTCTAATTTGCGTATTGTTTGTTGCATACATACACTTAAAATAAAATTTTAATCATTCAAATCCATGCATCGATTGTTCCACTTTAAAAATGAACATTGCCGAATAGCATTGCACTATATTAATCCCCATGTTCACAGTTAAAATAAAGGCACTGTATCTGTATATTTATCATTAATCTATTTTTGATTCCTAAAATATTTTGATTAAAAGAAAATATATAAAGTGGGCAACGCTGGTCGGTCAAGCTTAATCGCGCGACTAAAAGTTAATTTGGTATGAACTGGGTATCATTTAAAAATCAAAAGTTGTAGTAATTTCCGGTGAAACAGGAAGTGACCGAACTACCTGAATCAATCCTGATTTATGTCATATTACTAACAAAGCAAATCTTTTTTTTTATCTGAAAAAAATGAAAAAGTCGTAGGGGTTAAGCTTGATTTTCATGCATCCGTTGTTCGACGATACGATGATACGATATTAATTTTATTGGTTGAATTTAAAGACTTCGATTGGTTAGAAACGGTTAACCAATCGCAGCCTTTAAATACAACCAATGAAATTAATATCGTATCAACGTATAGTCGGACAACGGATGCATGAAAATCAAGCTTTAGTCGGGGAAAACACCCGTTATTGATACCTGTATAACAAGTAGTACGAGTAGTAAAACAATTAGTTAAGAAGGACGTTTAAGGTTAATTTTATTTTGAATTGTGCATATATTACTACTTGTCAAAAATAGTAGGATTTCATTTCTATTACATGTTACACAATTTACTCACATTATTTAATGTAAAGGAATGATAAATTTTAATTTTTTTTCCAAAATTTTGGGGTACCTATTTAAAGAAATACCATATGATCGAAAAAAACGGGGTCCAGTTGGTTTGGAAATGACAATCGATGACATTCCCCATATAATTTTACAAATAAATTGATACCTATCAATGTTGATGATCTTCATTTCATAGTCATCAATGATGTAATGATCTTCATTTCATAGTCATCGCCAACGCCTTTTTTACTTCTTTTTACTTTAATTCCGAAAAAGCACCTATACTTATTCTGTTTAAATAATAGAAATAAAATAATATACTTTCTACTAAATCTAAAAGAGTGCTCAGAATTAATATTTTTAAAAAACTGTCATTGCTTCTAGAATCTTTTATTAAACCGTTCGAGCGGTTATTAGAAATTAAACTTGCAAATTAATTTCTCAGTAAGAGATTTTTATGAAAATCAAAGCCCATTTGGAATAATAATTAAAAATTAATATTCTAAGTAGCTCTGGACGAATTAAATTTTGTTATTGTTGGGCAAAGACGTCTGTCGCCAGAAATCTTAAAATATTTTTAGATTATTTATTTTTATGGTAATATCAAATGATAAAGTTCTTTATCTAGGCTCTTCAATATTTATAAATTACCGTAGATTTAAATACAATTATTTTGTTTGTTCTATTTCGATAATTTAATATTATACCTTTTAATAATTTTATTTTTCTATACTTTTTCGTCATCGCAGTTATTACATACTTCATAATCTACAACACTTTGAAGACTTTTACGACTTTTTAAGACTCTTTCTGAGCAGATGGTATCGAAGGCATTGTTCTTTTTTTTATAAGTTGGTAGATGTCGTTTACGTTTATATCATTTTCTTAAATTTCATATGCTTTTTTATTCTCTTCTTAAAGTTTTTATAATTTAAGTGTTCTCTTGGCTGATATAAGATTTTCTTCTAGTGTGTATTTGTTTGTTAGTTTTCAAAATAATAGTTAATTTTTGATTTCGTGTAGAACTAGTATACTATGATATTTTATTATTATCTTGTGTTTCTTTTGTATACTTCTTCTGTTGGTGCTAGATTAAATATTATTTTCAATATTTTATTTTGTTGTCTTTGTAGCTTCTAATTTTTTCTGTTGTATTGCTTTACGTTTAAATTAATTATATTCTTAGATTAAAATAATGTATGATATATTGATTTCTTCATTTTTGATGGTATTATGTTTTTTTTAATTTTAGTAGTGTGGCAAATGTTCTGGCGTTTTCTTTTTTTTAAACTGTTTATATGTGTGTCCCATTTTAAATTATTATAAATTTTCATTCCTAGATAATTAACTGTATTTCTTTTATTTTTCGCTTCTTTATATTTATATTTAAGACGTTTATTTGTTGTTTTATTTTGAATTTTATAAAATTTCGAAAAAAAAATATTTTGCTAAAATTTTGAGAACCACTGGATCTTTTCTGGATTTTCTTTCTTGTAAATTTAATTTACTACCTATGTTGCCATATTATCAACAAATTATGTTTTTAACTAAAAACTTGAACAGTGTATAACCAAAATACTATTGTGCTGTTGCATACCACAATATGTAAATATTTTTATAGCTTTTAGTTAAAATTTCTGTTATGAAGTAGAGAAAGTTAAAAACTCTTGTTAATGAAAACATGTCAATTTTTCCAAATAGAAGAAACGGAAACAAAGCATATGAAACACGACAAGGAACACATTTCATTTTTCAAAAGCCCCGGTGCATCGAACAAGGGGATTTGCGAAAATGTTTTCAGGAAAATTCTAAAACCGAGACGGACAAAACGTAACAAATGGGGCCGGTTTATTTGGTAGATTTTAAAGGAAATATTGTCAACGGGAAATTTTATACATTTCTTTGCATTTCTGAGAGTATAAATAAACATTTGAGAAAATGTATTATTTACGCAGAATCAATATCAAATCATCTCGACGTTATCAAAAAAGGCCAATGAATATTTTGTAAAAGGAAGTATATATCCGAAAACTGGATAAAAACTGGAGTGACTTTAACTTTGTTAATACTCAGCTATATTTTCCTAAACATCAACAGAATAACAGAATAACAGAATAATCTACATATGTAAAAAATGTCTATACCTATGTGGCGGATTCATCTTTCCATAAAATCCTTTATGGGTATTTCGCCACTGCACTGCAAGAAAATCTACAAAATAAAATAATTATTTTTTGTAAACACTTCTGGCGTTAAACCTAAACGGACGCTGCTTGTCAGAAGTTATGTTTATAGTAATACAAATTTGCCTAACAAAATAACAATGCAGTGCAGTGGCGAAATACCCATAAAGGATTTTTCTGGAAAAATCTACATATGTATATAAAATGCGAATGTTTGTCTGTGTCGTCTCTACTGAAGTAACGACTTGCTCCAGAAAGTTGCTTTTTTACTAAAAGATAGCTAATTGGCTCTTTTAAAAACTGTCGTCGCACAGTTGCGCCAGGCTTCAAATAGTTATAATATAATAATTATCTTATATAGGGTAATTTTTATGGTGTCGCCAATATCACTATATTTAAAATGGTACATATATCTCAATTTTTTTGATGCAACTTCCTGTATATTATTGTTGTTTGTTTGCATTTACTTTAAGTCCAGAAATATATCTATCCTGTTGAATTAGAATAACAACAGTTTTAAGTCCAGAAGTTGTATTGACTATAATTAAACTCAACCTATTTCAAAGGTGTGTTGATTAGAAGCAAAAACAAAAAGTATGTGTACGCGTCTAATGCTAATGCTAATATTAATTGTTGCAAGTCGTCACTGTCATCAAAAGGACATATCTCCACCAAAAAATATCTACATTCTGTATTTAGCATGAAAATGTAAGATCAAAGATTACTAAATTTATTAAAACAATTCTCTAAATTACAAACATTGTTTTAAAGGATTGACTGGTCTTTAACTACTCGCGCGTGTTGGCTAGCTACACAGGTTGTTAACTGGACAGTTACTTATAAGGGAACAGAATGGCAATACTGCCTATTGAGAACGCATGCACTTATAGGGTTTTCTGCCGACTCGTCCCGTCGTCGCGTCGTATATCAACGAGCGGGCCGAGGTTGCCATATTTCAACCATAAAACTCTTGCCGCGAGTAATAAACAAATTAATAACCTGTATACCTATAAGTATGTAGCCGTCAATAATAATGGATAATCTCTTTTTAAAAACATTTCGTTGTTTTTTTACCTGTATATTTTCTCCAATACATCGTACACGTTCGGATTTTCTGGGTTCAGCTGTCCGCAGGGCGGCTCGCCACAGTATAAGCTCCAAGGCCTTTCATTAACACATACCGCCAAATCTCCTAAGCCTGAAAATAATTATAAAGCTAATTTAGATACGGGATTTACGAGTCCGAAACGTATTCGGTTATTTTGTGTGGCTACGAAAATCCTTTTTGTGTGTACGAAAATAATTTTATTAAACATTCACGATGTTTTAAAGGTCGGTATCCATTTGTTGCATCAACATATCGTATCATCGTTGCGTACCAGAGCTGCAGCAAGTCAGTTTGAAAAAGACTTAAGTCTTACGTCATTTCTAAAATCAAAATGATTTAAGTCTTAAGTCAAATTCAACATAAAGTTCAAATGATTTAAGTTTTAAGTCTTTGACTCAAATCATTTTATTTTAAGTCAAGTCATTCTTGTAAAGACTTAAATCAATATAACGTTATTTAAGTAATTTTTATGACTTAAGTCTATATTTTTGACTTAAATCGTTTTAAGTGAAAAAACATAATTTTTTAAGCCAAGACAATTAGAATTCAATTAAATAATTGAATTCTGGTTGTACCTTTTTTAAGTACCTTTTTTTAAATTTTCTTGTATTACCAATTAGCGATTTTCTTACCAAGTATCATATTTTTAATTTTTTCTAGATACAGATGAGGCTAGAACCACATAAAATAAAACGGTTAATTTCCAGAACAACTACAAGCACAAAAATATGTTTTTTTTTTATAAAATTTAACCGATTTTGAGGTACTTTATATGTAGGTATCCATTACAAATAGATGTCGTCGAATGCATGTCTGTTAAAAAGTGCTGATGTATTTTGATCACTATGGAATATATCGATGGAATAAGCTAAGAGCTGGAGGATTTTAAGGTACTCTTCAATAATATTTCAGATAAATTTCTTTCATTCGGTCTTTCGGGCTATATAACGGTGATTCTTGGCTGCCGCGTATCAGTTTAAAAAAATGCTGCTGTTTCTGAAATTTTTCATAAAAATATATAATAATCTGACTTAAGCTTTTTATAAAAACACTTAAATCTTTTTAATGACTTAAGTCTTTTCTAAAAAGAGTTAAATCTTTTTCTATTTCCGAACAAAGATTTAAATCACAAATCATTTTGAATAAGCCCGCGGTTACATTGAACGCAGGCCCGTGCGTTTTTTATACGTGCCACCTCTGACGGAATTTACTCGTACGACTATTTTATTATAGTGGTTACATTAGATGAGTTCATGGTGTCCCGTGTGTCGAGTTTGTCAAATCAAGCGCCACTACTTTGATGCTTTGTGAGGACGTAATGTTAAAATAACTACTAATGAAAAGAAGAAAATGTTGGGTAAATGATTTATATGCAATAAGAGGAGAAAAAAATAAATATGTAAAACATTTAGTGAATTAAGACAGCAATGTAAATAGAATGTTTCCATCAACATTAATATATCCCAAATAAAATTAAACCTGGTATTCAAAAATACCCAAATTTTTCGGGAATGTATTGGGATCAGAGAAAAAAAATCGAACGCTCGGACGTGCGCGTATTAAAAAAAACAAACCAGTTTGTTTTCATCCGACCACCGGAAATTGACGTACGTGCACGGACTCCAATGCAATGTAACCGCCTGCGTAGATACCATTTGTTTGTTTTTTGCTGCGTGCACGTCCGTGCGCGTACGACCAAATAGACTCACGGACACGCATCCAATGTAACCACGGGCTAAGACTTAAATTTTAAGTCAAGTCAGCTTTCGAAAAACGACTTAAAATCAAATTACTTAAGTCATTAAAATGATTTAAATCAAAAAAAGAATTAGGTTTTCTTCTGTGAGCCTGCAGCTCATTTGCTTACTAGTAGATACAGGGACCGTTGCATAATGGCGTCAACCGTCAATTTGCGCCGATACATAAGAAACTGAGTGAAATAGAAACGATATAATAAGTTTTATTAATTTCTAGCAATTACAAACTGATTTAGGATCCAAACGATCGGGACCACTTCAATTAACTGCAAAAACAAGATGCCTGGAAATAAATTGCGGAAAATTTGTACAGAATTGTCGATAAGAGCAAGAAAAAAAAATGCCAAAAAATATTGATCTGCTGGTTTTGAATCCTATAATCGTAGGACTTTTGATCGCGTAAGTTGATACGGATACGCAGTTAATTATTGACGTCCTGGAAAAAATTACACTACGTTGCAGTGTATCGTAAATCAAACGATAAGTTGATAGGATACGTACATACTTAACAAAATCATATCCGAATATACCCTAGAGTTAAAAAAATCATTAAGTTTTAAGCTATTTAAAATTTTATAATTATGCAAAACGTTCCTGTTCTACAATATATAAAAATGCATCAGCTACACGACTGCGATACGTCTAAATAATTTTGAAAATTTTATATTCTTTCGTAAATAAATATAAGCGATATACTGGCCATCTACGATCTCAACCAATAAGTAACAAATTATACATTTTGCATTGCTTGACAACTCTATATACTACAAATCTGGCATTTACAGGGTGGTCCGAACTGTATTTCGGAAACTTCGGGAGCATATTCTGCAGATAAAAATAAGTAAAAAAGTTTGTATAAATGTATGTCCTAAAATACTTTGTTTCGGAGATACAGGGTGTAGAAGTTTCATTTTTATTTCGATTTTTTCTAAATAATTTCTGAAGTAACTTCAATATTTGGATAAAAATTGGTGTCTGGAAGTTTTGTGACACGAGAAATATGATTTTGATGTCGAAATGACTCGTATTTGTAGGGGGCGCCACCTACATGCGATTTGACTGTTTTGAAGAGTAATAACTTTTCGTCCGTACCTGTATAAAACTACTGACTAAAAAAATATACATTTCCATGACTTTTTACGTAAAAAATGTCTCTTGGTAAAAATCGCTACGAGCATCCGTTCTTAAGATATTTAGAATGGAAATAGTCAATACATGTCATTATTGACAAAAAATAAGCACACGTTGAGTATAGTTATTTGACTGAAATAAATTTTTATTTTTTTAAATTAATCATAAGTTTTTCTGCGAAAAAATGATGATTAAACAGTTTCTGTTGAACTCTTGGCACAAAAACAATTCAAATTTATGGTTTCAGTCTAAAAACTATTTAGTCAACATGTTTAATTTATGTCAATGATGACAGGTATTGATAATTTCAATTCCAAATATCTCGAGAACCATTACTTGTAGTGATTTTTACCAAGAGACCTTTTTTATGTAAAAAAAATTGTAAATGTATATTTTTTTACTCTATAGTTTTATACAGGTATGGACGAAAAGTTATTACTCTTCAAACCAGTTAAAACATATGTAGGTGGCGCCCTCTACAAGTAGGAGTCATATTGACATGAAAATCCCCAAATTTCTCATGTCAAAAAACTTCCAGACACCAATTTTCATCCAAATATTGATGGTTATTTCACAAATTATTTGGAAAAAATCGAAATAAAAATAAAACTTCTACACCCTGTATCTCCGAAACTAAGCATTTTAGGACATACATTTATTCGGACTTTTTTACTTATTTTAATCTGCAGAATATGCTGCCAAAGTTTCCGGAATACAGTTCGGAGCACCCTGTATATTACAGTATTTTATGGTATACTTTTTCTTAAGAAGGAAAAGACAATCTTCCTGTCTGTCATTTTTACTTCAGAATAATATGTAATAAAACTTATTTTTCCCCTTCATGTCATGTGCTGCTGAATTATAAAATTTTCATTATTATGTATTGCTGTCGTACACTGAAGCAAATACATATTTTATTGAATAAGTTATACCACGACAAGCTGCATTAGCATGACAATGTAATAGGTGGAAGGTCATGATCATCTCACGGTTATAACTCACTGACATTATAAAATCACTCACATCTCTAGTGGCGACGCATATTTAACATAACGTAATAACATATGATAATCATCTTGTTATAAAAATATTAGTATCTTTAAAAATAAAAAAAATGTACGCTAATAGCAAATAATAATAAATTTTACTATACCTTCTCGTTGGCCCCATGTCCAGCCATTGCCAGCATGCGCAGGCACGTCAATCTCTAAAATAGTTCTAATTCCCCTTATTCTAGCAAATTCAACTATGGCTTTGACTTCCTCGGGACTGTAAGTCTCCTGGGGACTATAGGAACCACTACTTGATAACTGAGGTACACTGGGGAGTACCAGTGGAAAACTCTGAGAGTCTGTGATGTGCCAATGAAATACGTTTAGTTTATTGGCAGCCATACCCACCTGAAATAGAAAAAATATATGTTAGAAAATAATAAAACATAAAGCTTTGAAAGTATTAATAGTCAAAGTTTCTGTAACATAATTTGTGCAACCATCGTTTACAATTTAGGGCGCAAACATAGTGACGCATCTCGATGCGATGCTCGCCAAGATGCTGGCCGCGCTGCTCGCCAGGATGCTAGCCGCGATGCATTCTACGCGCACTGTTTTAAAATGGCGAGTAAGTGCGCGTAGGATGCATCGCGACTATCGTAGAAACATAGTGCGGGGCATTTCACCTCGATGCGATGCGCGCCATTCACCTCGCCATCCGGCGATGAAATTATCAAACATGTACAAATTTATGCGTCAAAACGTAGTGGAGCCTTGCACCTCGCCACGCACCTAGATGTTCAGCGCGATGCTTCCTAGGAAACAAAATTTTTGTTTTTTGCGAGAAGCGGATGCGGATGCCTGAAACTTTACATTTGATTGGTCGGTTTAGGATCACAATTCGTTGAGCATATGTCGAACTAGAGTCGTGTGGAATAAAATTTTCACAATACTAGTATTTAATTTATCACCAACAATGTAATCAACTTGATTCTAATGCGTCGGGCATCTGCAGCTCCTATAATAAAAAACTTATGAATTTTGTATAGAAGACATAAAGTATGTATTAGGATGTATTTGGGTGGCTCAAAAAAGTGTGAATGGATCGCGAATATTTTTTTAAATGAAACACCTATATACAGAGTGGCGCAACTCATTCGCCTTGGTTGATTATACGAAAACGGAAATATGTAGAAACAAAATATTTTATGGGCATATGTGGGAAGACCATGTGCATAATTTAAAATTATTTTGAAATATACAGGGTATGTCAGAGCTAAGATTTACACCAAAGTTATATTTTTCCTTATGAAACACCCGGTATTTTATTTCATATTTGGATCCTTGGACACAAAATAAGGCCTTTAATATAAGGGTTATTATATATTAATATGTTTACAAGCTTCGGTTTTTGAGATATTTAAAGATATTTAAATATGCATGCTACAATGACATAAATTATCAACACCCTGTGCATTACTTTTTAGAATTAATTATTGTGCTGAGTTTAAACATAGAGAAATAGACTTTACTGAAAAATTGTATTGCTCCCTTAAATTTATACAGAGGTACCAAAAATTGATGATTTATTTTAAATATTTATTTTACATAAAAACCTTGTTATTTCAAATACGATAACCTGTATTTTTTAAAATAAATCGAAACAGATTCAAATTCTCTTTCAAACTATTATTAGGGTAGCCTATACCTATCTAGTTCAGATTTTGAATAAAGAGTAATTTTTCAATAAAATGGCAACAAAGAGGGCTGATGTATGTAGTCATGGCAAGTTTCTAGTGACAGTACCTATTTTCAAAATCGAAATTAGTTTATGGACTTTATTTATTTATAGCAAGTACTTTAATCGCTAGTTGATTAAAAAAAGTATACCATTAATATTGCAAATTATATTTTATCTTCTGATAGTCTATGTCTTTTTAATATTTTGATGATGTAATGAGCACTTTGTTTACTCACTTGTTTCGTCGAAATGCTTGAATCCATTTTTGTTTTTGATCAAATCTATGAAGCTAGATATATAGAGATAACATTTTGTTTCGGGAGAGTTGAATATCCGGGAAAGTTGAGTTATTGAATGTATGTAATTGCACCCAACAACGCCCTAAGTACGCTCTCCTTTACGCGTTAACATTTTTTCAGCAATTTTATTAACATTTGAAATTGTCCCAACACAGCACGCGACGCCTAGTTCGAATTCTTTTTCATTTATTTTTTATTACCCGAAACAGCGTTACATCACACAAACCTCGTTCCTGAGTGTTTTATCTCTTTTTTGTATGAATAATTGCACTAACAAAAAACTAAAATACTTAAATATTATAACCAAACCATGATTTCAATATTATTGTATGCGATCAACATGACTGCGGCGGCGACGTGAAATAGGTAGGGATAATATCTGTTTTTTGCCGTTGTAGCGCTGCGGTCGGAATTTGTTGAAATCAACTGAAATGCAACAATGGCCTATACTAATTAATTAATTAATAACTACTTTATATAAACTGGTGTTTAACAAAACGGCGATGGTAAATGCTTCAGTGTGTCTACGCGCACCTATTCGCCGTTTTAAAACAGTGCGCGTAGGATGCATCGCAGCTATCATCCTGGCGAGCAGGGCGGCCAGCATCTTGGCGAGCATCGCATCGAGATGCCTCACTATGTTTGCGCCCTTTTAGTAACTTAATCTGTACTAGTTTTGTTTATTGCTATACATATATATTATCAAAAACAAAATGTAAAAAAATGCAAAAAGTCTCGCAAGGCAGTTTTTCTAGTACAAACAGTTGCGAGATCTCATATAAAACCAAGTCAATTTTTTTTGTTAGTGTCTGGTTATGTAATGGTTATCTAATCAATTACATATTAAAATTTATAGTGACCGTATCAATATTAGAGTTTTAGTATATAATAGTAATTATAATGACTTGAAAGTGTACGGCAACTTTACTCTTATAATTAAAATACCTACATTATTCTTAAGTGCACTTCAGACTTACTTAGTAGATTATGCTTTTATAATTATGGTGCCATGTGAGCATCAAGTCATTATAACTATTATAAAAATAAGGATGTCTAATATTGACAAGTTTACTACAAATGTTGATAGGTAGAATGTAGAATGTTTAAGAGGGGTACCCCTTTCTTGAGTTATAACGTAATAACTCATCATACAGTCTTAGAGCTTTTACAAAAGCCAGTGTCTGAGACAGCTACATAGAGGCCAGCTTTCTATGTCCGACATCAGCCGTTCCAAAGTTTATGGCACAAACGGTTGTCGTCTCGGCGCACTCAGTGATAAGGTGTTCTGGTGTTTCCTCATTTTCCCCACAGAATCTGCATTCGTTATTGTTGCTCAGTTTCAATCTACTGAGGTGTTCGTTGAACTACGCGACCATTCGAAGATTGTTCTTACTTAAATCAAGGAAAATCAATTTTTCTTGGTCGTAAGTTCTGAGTAACTTTTTCTAGTGTCTTACATCGTTGGAGGATTTCCATTCCAGGTTACGGATGAACCTGGAAGTCTTCCAGGTTCTTGAGTTCCGTTTTAAGTTGATTTCCGCTTGGAAAGAAGAATGGCTTTGGTTCAGTTAGTAGAGTGTTCGCTCCTTTACTAGCTAGAGCGTTTGATTTTTATTTGCCTTCTATTCCTTGGTGAGCGGGCACCCAGAATAGGAGGACTTTATTTTCTTTGTCTAATTTCGAGCATGGCTTGTCTTTGACTGTGTCATTGTGTATACTCGTATTCCCGTAATTTTTTATTATTATTGACTTATTTCAAACTCTAATTATTTCATAGTACACATAATACTGTTCGCTATCTTTACTATTATAACAAAGGAGTAAAATAACAAGTTTATGCCGAAGCAGGAAAATTATGCCTTTCTGAAATAGATAAAAGTTGATTAAAAGTTTTGTGAAATTCAATTTCCGCTAGAATAATGGAAATCGACGTTAACTTTTATAATTTTTCAAATTTTTATCTCTATTTTACCAGGAGCAACAATATTTATAAAGTTCTAGAAAACTGTTTTTTTTTCCTCAATATATAAATTTTAAAAATGTCAAATCAGGAATAAACAGTAGAGACATGCATTTTCATTATAAAGAAATAATCTGTGGAATATCTATTGTCTTAATGATTTGTGTCTAATATACAGGGTCCGGTAATAGTGCGTCGGGCATCTGTAGCTCCTATAATAAAAAACCTGAGAATTTTGTTTAAGTGCAAACCTAAAATATGTACCAGGATGTATTTCAAGAAAATATTTTAACTTCTATAGGGTAGCTCAAAAAGTGTGAGTGGATCTAGATGATTTTTTTAAATGAAACACCCTGTATATTATTGCATTTTTGGCTTCCTTTCAGATCACTTTACATAACCCTAAGATATGAATAAATATATTTTGATAGTTTCAGAGATAAAAAATAAAGGAAAAATTTATATCTTTCAGGCCTTCTTAAAAAAATTATTAAAAATACAAGAACTGTTCTGAAATCAAAACTATATTAGGTATTTACATTAGATGATCTGTTCTTACTTTGCTATAAATATGGTAATCGTAAATCATACAGGATGTTCAATATTCTACGCCAAACTTTCTAAAATATAAAATACTTTTTCTTTGTTTTTTTTTTAAATGGAATACCCTGTATATTATATTTTTATTAGATGCAGAATTAAAAGATGAACATTTTTTGCATTTAGAGTATTTCAAAATTTTTAACGGTTTCGCAGATACGATATATAAATATCATATATACCATATTCATATGGCGCTTTCAATGGTAAAATACGAGAGAAAAATCATTGGGTGGCTTTGATAAAAATTTACTGTGGAAAATGCCATATGAAATATAAAACCGCAAATATCTGCGAAACAGTTAAAATGTTTGAAATACTCTAAGTACAAAAAATGTTCATTTTTTAATTCCCCGTATTGAAAAGATAATATACAGAGTGTTAGATTTAAATAAACGAAGAAAAATTATTTTATATTTTAAAAAGTTTGGCGTAGAATTTTGAACATCCTGTATGATTTACGATTTTCATATTTATAGCAAAGTAAGTACAGACCATCTAAAGTAAACACCTAATATAGTTTTGATTTCAGAACAGTTCTTGTGTTTTTAATAATTTTTTTAAGAAGGGCTGAAAAATATATATTTTTGATTTATTTTTTAATATCTCTGAAACTATTGAAATATATTTATTCATATCTTAGAATTATGTAAAGTGATCTGAAAGGAAGCCAAAAATGCAATAATATACAGGGTGTTCCATTTAAAAAAATCATCCAGGTCCACTCCCACTTTTTTGACCCACCCTATAGAAGTTAAAATATTTTCCTGAAATACATCCTGGTACATACTTTAGGTTTGCACTTAAA